TATAAAAAAACACCCAGCACTGTATGTTATAAAACAGCAAAGTCATTTATATTGGCAAAGTGAGATACGGAAAACATCTGCGTAGTGTCCAGTCTGCTGGGATTCTTCTTCCCTCGCTCCCGTGTGGAAAAAGACAGCTTGTAGTGATGAGTTGTTTATGCTTTAGGCTGGCCCATATCACATTTTTATCCTACTACATAATGTTTATTTGATTCATACTTATTTCTTATAATGTTTTCACATCATAATAAAAGAGAAAGGGCATAATTTCATACATACATTATTAGTATGAAACATAGCAGCTGTATATGTAAAACATAGAGAGGGATAGATTGTTTTGATGTACAACAGTTGCTCAAGTGTCACGATCTCTTACACCCACTCTTCCTCCTGTGCTTTTCACATTGTTCCCATCCATTGTTTCAGCCTTTGCTAAAAGACCTATTTGAACCTGATGAATGTGTCAATGTGTCAATCAGGCAGGCCAGCATGCCTACCACTGGATTGAGGGCAGGCTGGCGATGGCTCTGTCTGGAGTCAGAAAACGGCTTGCATCAGTCTACAAATTCTTCCCCAGGTACTACACATATCAGAGTTAAGACAGCTATATCACTGTTTTGTTTTGGGGGGTTTTGTTTTTGAAAATGGTCAGTTTATTTGGGTTCACTGCAGGTCCAAACTACACGTTGAATTATAGTCACCGAAATGCTCTCGAAGCTATGTGCACCTAGATGTTCGTAGCTAAAGCTGGACCTGTTTAAACTTAAACAATAACTCGATCAAGAAGTTTAAAGATCAAGTTTTGATCCAGAGTACAACTGATGGATAAAAATGATTCCAGTTGGATTTTTTTTCCCTTTGTTTTTCCTTTTAAGTGAATGTTCAGTGATTGTGTCGGTGCCGCTGCCACAGCTGCCCCGGTCAAAGACGGCCAATGCTGGGCTGATGGAGATCCTCCTGGAGGAGTGGATCCTGAGACCTCTGCTGACCCTCGCCGCTGTCAGACCCACTGCCGAACTCTACCGCCTCAAAAGGAAGATCATGGACAGCCCCTTCACACGTAAGGCACCGTTTTAATTACCGTAGTTTTACACGTTTATGACAGTGCTGTTGATCAATTTTACTGAGACCGCATTGACACAAAGTGTCGAGGTGTCATAAACGCTGATGTTTATTACGGGTGTACAAGTCGTGCTGTTCTCTTTTTTTCTTTTTTTTCTTGGATCTTTTGTGATTTACTGGATGTTTTTCTTTGCTTAGATGACTTAGATGATGATGGAAGGCACACTACTTCTGGAAAAGTTCACTCAGTTTTTAATCTTCTCCATTTGTACTTCATGAGTCCCAGAACCTCAAAAAGAACTTGTCACTGTTCCCAGGCTGGTGTATTTCAACTGTACTCTTCTTCTGTCTTTTCTCAGATCTCGTTTGAAATGTTTTATGTGAGGATTTAACTGACAGGTCTGGCAGAGCGAGCCTCAGTATCTGCATGGAAACAAGCTGTAGCAATACCAGCCTGGTAATTGTTGCAAATAGGACCTCAGGAAGTGCTTTTTAGGCACGCTCACTTGGTATTCGATAACCTCTTCACTTCAGTCCATATAAATATTATTTAAAAGTCAGTAAAGTGTTATGTGCTGTAGGGTGAGAAACAATACCCAGGACAGACTGAATGGGGAAAAGTAAGCATTTATTTTGATTGATGAAGTCTAAAGGACACAGAAATCCAGAGGCAAAAGGGAAACACAATCCAGAGCTGTCAGAGAACGCACTGGGAGACTAAACAGATGCTCAAAAACTGCAGAGAAAGGCAGAGCTGGAGTACTCATACATGAGGTAAACAAGGGGGGGTGGACAGACGAGGGTAACGAGATACAGATGAAACCAATAAGGACACAAATGACTAACAAAATAAAACAGGAAGTAACTAACAAGTGCAGAGGTTAGACCATGGATACGTGCAGCAGCTTTACACACAGTGAAAGACCAGGATAAACTAGTAAAGAGGGAATCGAATTGTAAACAATAAAAAAACAAAGAAAATTGAATAATCAACAAAAATCTAAAGATCAAAGAACTAAAACCTTTGTGTCAGCACGCAGGACCATAACTGTTAGCTTTGTTTTGTATTATCTTAGATTATTAGATTAAACATCATAGAGGGGTTTTTGTTTTGTTTTGTTCATATTTAATACATCATTCAAAACACTTTAGGTCATGGCTGGAACACATCTGCAACAAATAACACAAGATACCTGATCTAACCAACATAACACTTCTAAGTAAATCAGTACTGGAGGCACTTGTCTAAAAGCAAATAATGACTTATATGTTGTAAACATGTAGTAATGAGCATGGAGTAACTAAATATGGAGTTAGACCAGCTATGAGTGGAGGCGTAGGTAAAAAGGGCACTGCATGTCAACATGAAGTATTTATTATTATTATTTCAGCTTCACATTCCTTCCCTTTGGTTTCCACGATGAACGGAACAAATAACATATTTCTGATGACTTCACGCGACTGTTAGCGTGTACACGTGTGCCTTCGGGTGTGTTTTGTCTTTTTGAGCTTGTGTTTTGCATTGTCAGGACTTTGTGTGTCGCTCAATGCTGCAGCCAGACTCCTAACGCACTCTAGCGAGCGAGCTCACATCACCCCTACTTTACTCTGTTTTTATTGGCTGCCAGTGGAGTTTAGAATTTCTTTTAAAATTCTCACAGTCGTGTACGGAGCTAAACGGACACACTCCAGAATACTTCGTGTTAAACACAGTGCTGCTCGCTGTTTTCACTAATATGCTAGATGGCTCATACAAGACTGAAGACGACGGGGGGTCAGAGCCTTTCGTCCTGCGGCACCGTGGCTCTGGAACAGTTTAACACTCCAGCTCAGTTTAACTGATTAACAGTTCAAAACATTTCTTTTAATCAGGCCTTCTGCTGACATCCTTTTCTTATTCATGTCTTTATTTATGTTTATTGTTTTAATATGATTTTCTTTTTACATTAATCGTGATTTAAGTGTTGTTAACAGCACGTTGAACTTTTACGTGGCGACACGCGGCTCGCTACTGGATGTAGAATGAGATGAGGAATATTTGAGAAGATGTGGCTCCCATAAGACTGAGGGTGAATGTGGGACAGAGATTATTTTAAGCATTACAAACATCCAGGCGCAATGATACAAACGCAGCAATTTTCTCTAGCTTAGAAATGTTCCCTGAATGAAAGAAACGGGAGCATGAGATAGATTTTATATGTGAGTCAAGTTCAAAAAAAAATAAGACAAAATAATACAAAAAGACACCGATCATAAAATGGTTTAGATTTTTGATTTAGTAACCCTGTAAAACAGTGAGTCCACCAGACCTACCAACATCGCATGAGTAACACCACATGAGGGTTCAATGAATTCTGTTTTTTCCCTTCTTATCTCGCCAAAGACCAAGCTCTGTTGGTGGCAGATCAGTTCGTAGTGACGTTTGACGGTCACTTGTACGAGCTGCCAGGTTCGTGTCCACTGCTCCTGGCCCGAGACGTCGGCCGCGATCCGTCGTTCACGCTGCTGCTCGGCACAGACGCGCAGAAGCTCCTCCTGATACAAATGAATAACCACACCATCAGCGTTCAGCGCAACGGGCAGGTATGTGTTACTCTCGACGAATAAAGAGCGTTCAGGCCATGAGGAATAAGACGAGTAAATGCTTATGTCGCAGGTGAGGACCGACTGCAGCGGCGCCGTCAGCCACACGTTTCTCACTGATGATGGAGTGACAGTCAGGAAAGCATCAAACGTGGTGCAGGTGTCCAGTCAGCGTGGGATGTTTGTGTCATGTGACCTGTCGCTTGAATTGTGCAGCTTCACTCTGGATGGATGGTTACATGGTGGGAAAGATTCAGCATGGCCCGTTATAAATATCTGTCTTCATATTCTCACACATATACACCTTTCTCGCCTGCACAGGTGTCTCCACCGGTCTGTTTGGGACCAACGATAACGACGCAGGAAATGATTTTCCTATGTTTGACGGATCTCAGGCTAAAAACTTGGAGGATTTTCTCTACACCTGGCAGGTAGGATCAGTGAGATTAATCAACACATGGCATCGGTCCAGTTCTCAAAAAGATGTGCAATATGAAATAAAGCCTAGATTTCAAGGATTTGTAAATCATTTAAACTCTACTTAAACTCTACATTTGATCGAAAATACAACAAAAAGGTTTTAAAGTGAAAAAGGACTGGGTAAGGACTGAATAATCGAGGAATGTTCTCAGGATTAAAATAATCATGAACGGTTATGGTCTTCAGGCCCTCAAGTGAATTTATTAAAAAATATAAACCACTCCGTAGCACATGTTAAAGCTCTGACATTGAAAGAAAAAGCAGACAGAAACTTCACTGGGCATAGCAATATTCTGGGCTTGGGTCCATTTATGTACTAAGATCAGTGGAAAGCTGTTTGCTTGTATGACTGATAAAAATCAATTTTTTGGCAGGGGGCAAATAGAAAGGGACAAAGAAAGGCTTGTTAGCAGTACACACTTCAACTCCAGCATCCATTATAGCATAAGTTTGGAATTGCATGAAGTGGAATGTGTTCCTCGGTCATCTGTTGATGTCATCACCCTGTTAGTGATGAAAGATATAAAAATAAATAAATAAAATCCTTTTTCAGCTCTAAGGTTTTACATAAAAATGATTTGGTCCTCAGCAAGTCTTAAAATTATTAAATGTGACTTCAGATGAACAACAACTCTCACATCACTGCGGAGGAATTTTGGCCGTGTTGTCTTTACAACATTGCTTCAGCTCATTGGGCGTTTGCTTATGCACGGCTCTCTGAAGAGCCCGCCACATCATTTCTGTCAGATTGAGATCTGGATTTTGAGTGCGCCATGGCAACACGTCGAATGATATGTTTTTCAGTCGTTCCATCAGCTGTTCCATAATCCAGTTGATGCCAAACTTTAGCTGTCAGACCGATGATCTCATATTTGAGTAGAAAACTTTGGTATACGGAGGAGTTCATGGTCGACTCAGTGACTTAGGCTACGTTCACACTGCAGGTCTTAATGCTCAATTCCGATTTTTTGTCTAATTTGTTTCTGCTGCCTTTCCCGTGCCTTCACTTCCTCTCACCATCCTCTTGTGTACATATTGTCCCGCTGTCCTGTGCCGGAACGCCCGTTCTTCTTCCATGTGTCTTGCTCATGTTCCTTGTTACCAGTTTTTCCCCATTTAGTTTTCTGTTAGTGAAAGTCTTTGTCCACTTTTTCCCTTTTATTTTGTATTTTTGCAAAGTTTTGATCAGCCTTAATAAACGGCTCGCTTTTGTTAGGATTAGTCCAAGCGTCTGCATTTGGATCTTCTAGAAAACGTGACCTGCCTCCCACAGATCGTGACAGTTTTTTGAGGGAAGAGGCTTTCTCCTGGCAGTCCTTCCAGATAAGCCACACTTATTCAATCATTTTATAAATGTACTGTCTCGAACGTTAAGATCTTACGTGCCAGGAGTCTGAGATGTAGCTCTTGGGTTTTTAGCAGTTTCTCTGAGCACTTTGTGGTAACACACAGCTGAATTCTCCAGAGCAGCAAACTGCCAAAAATCTGCTTTCATAGAGATGCTCACACTCACTAATGATCAGTTAATCTCATGCATTTGATCTGCTAATTAGTCTCTTAATTCCTTTGGAAGCAGTGAGGGTGTCGTTAGACTTTGTGCGCAGCGTTTTTGCATGTTAGATTATTTGCGTTGAATAAATAATGACATGCTGTAATAAGTAGAGCAGGGCAATATGACCAAAATATTTATCACGATATACATTTGAAAATGTGACGATATAATTGACACTAGACAAAATACTTTACGACTCCACAACTTTATTAGTGCAAAAAAAACCATCAATGTATTTTCACTTAAACAAGCAGCTGTTTTTTTATCTGCATTAAAGTTATATAAAAATTTAACAGTGCAAATGCAAATTCTTTGCTGACAGTTTAACCAAAAGGCATTTCCAGTGGAAACTGGCCGACAAGCCCTCAGCATAACCATGTATAATATCCACAAAACTTAAAAAGAGGATATACACACACAACACGGTAATATTATGTTGAAGCACAGTACGTATCACTCTGCGAGGCTCCTGCCTACGATAGCCGTAATGCTCCGACAATCCATCAAGCGGTGCGGCTTCGTAGCTTAGCAAAGTCGTACTAAAACATTTGACAGATTTTCGAGCGCCGTGTACCACATAACATCGTTTCGAGGTCAGTAAACACCAGAATTCATACATAAGGCTCACGGGATTATAAGGGGCACTGTCGATTTTCAGAAAAATCAAAGGATTGATTTTAAGTGTGCAGTATTTCCAAAAAACACGGTAATAACGACGGCCTGCTAGCATGCGCTACCAAAAATAGTGCTTTGTTGTGTATCTGCTGGACAAAAGCTAAACCAGTTCCACACCAGTGAAGTTGCAGCATTTTTACAAACCAGTTCTGGTTCATCCGTTTCATCCAACGATCCGCTTTCGCCTTTCTCATTCTCCGTCGCCGCCACGCTTTTTCCGCCATGTGCCTATGAAAACAAAGGCACTGCGCATGCGCGTTTTACCCATGTTCTAAAGCGATATTTCATTTTGTTGCCCAACATTATACCGGTATTATGTGAACGGTATCATATGGCCCAGCCATAGTAATAAGTCATTTATTGTTGCTCATTTGAGGTTGTATTCACCTGATTGTATTGTAGGACCTGCTTGGAATTGAACCTTCAGAACTGAAAGAGGGTTTACGTCTTACAATGACTTCAAAGTCACTTTAAATCTCAATTGTAAATTTTACCTCAAAGTGTATATTTACTCCCTTACCTCAGTCTCAAAGTGTATATATATTTATTCTTCTTATTCTTACTCTTCCTATATTTCAAGGATTCAAGGAGCTTTATTGTCATTTGCGTCGCATGTTAACATGAGGTGGAACGAAATTATGTAAAACACGGTCCCGGATTTATTGTTGTTCTTTTGCACTGTATGGAACTAGAGCCTCGTCGTCTCCTGTCTCTATATACTGAACTGTATATAGCAGAGATGACAATCAAGTTTACTTTGACTTTGACTGTATGCAACAAACGAGGAATTATGAAAACAGTTTGCGTTCCAAGCGAGAGCCATTAATTTCATCTACCAAACATTTGGAAAGTGTTAAAAATGATACACGATAATGGGAAACATATTTTGGGGGGAACGTTTTGCTGGGATCAAATACAGAATGATCAGCGTCAACATTTGATTTGTGGTTTTGGTTCTCGGTGGTTAAATCATTTTCAAATCACTGCGTTCTGCTTTAATTTGTATTTCAGACAACATCCCAATATTTCCTGAAATCGAGTTTCAATGAAATTGTGAAATCTTGTGTCTACAAATGTTTGCAGAGTTTTTGTCAGCCTCGAGGTTCTCCTTAGCTTTGCCCGCTTGTTTGTGACTTTAGATGAAACCTACATGCATCGAACCTTCTGCGACAGCAGCCGTCAGTCCAGCGAGCTGTGACGCTTTGTTCTCTTCTCCCGATTCTCCCCTCAGCTCTTGTTTCAGGGTGGTGAGTAACAAAAAAACCCACACAGCAGGCATGTCCTGGTGGTTTCTTCACCAGAACATTTTTATTAATATCCCATTTATGTTTGGAAAGCTCGTCGTGGAGGGAAGTTTAAACAGATAAATATGAAAACCTTTCTGTTTTCCCCATCTCCATCTTTTTTTCCTTTTTTTTCTCTTTTTGGTTGATCACATGTGATTTTTTTCACAAACCTGCATTTGTGTTGTCAGGTGGATCCCAGTCAGTTCATGTCTGTGTGTAAACTCAGCTCATCGAGAGCACCCTGCAGATTAGCATTTGCTTTCGCTCACCTCTGCCAGCAGAACTACATACCCATGGAGGTCCCCGTTCACTGCAGTGAGTTAGGCCACTGAATAAGACATGCATGATTATTCTTGTATTAATGTGTATTTGTGGCAAGTTTTTTTAATTCAGACATGCAAAATGTATATTTTGCATGTAGTTTTAACTTGTTTTGTGTGTGTGTGTTTCTGTTTTAGTGAAAGTGTAAAGGAAGGACAAGCTAATGAAGAGCAAAAATGGCCAGTTTCTGACCTCTGTGAGCTGCTATAACGGACAGCTTTACTCTTTATACCACTGTTTGTGCCATATTGCCTTCGTACTTTTATGTTGTACTCCACTGTGTAGTCACACATTCTTGTACCTCCTGTGACGCTTTTGTCCTGTTTAGACGTGCGTTGATTATCCCATTAATGTGAATGTAAACACATTCACTGTAGCAAGTAATAAAAACATTTTTTTTAAAGATTTGTGTCAGTGCATTGTGAGGAGGGAGCGGCTGAAACCAGCTTTTTATTGAATATCATTCCTTTCAGACTTTGTTTTGTGACCAGGACAATTATTAACACAAAGTCTGGAATTAAAAAGAGTAATTTCTTTCAAACAATTTGAGGCGTAAGCGATCAGGTCTTGAAACTCAATACACATGAGGAACAGATGTGCTATAACAGTGTAACACCAAGGCTGTGGTTTGTAGTGCAAACAGTGAAGATGCTGAAGACTCACTTTGGTCCACCACATTTACTAATCCGTACTAAAACGTAGTAAAACATCCTTGTTTCTTAGTTAACTGGTCTTTTGGAAGATGGGTATGTAGTTGTGTATCTTTGACTTCTGTCTTTGTGTGACACATTCGGCAATCCACACAATGTTCCGACTCTCCTGCTCCTTAAGTTTGATGTAAGAGTAAAATACTCCAAAGTGGAACTGCTGCAGGAAAGCAAGTATGTTCAGCTTCACCTGGAAAAATGATAGATGCGTAAGCTGCAAGAATCTACAGTCAGGGCAGCCTAACAAGAAAAGTACATACTAATACTAAATTTAAATTAATCACCTGTACTTTCTTACAAATATATATACTTTCAGCAGGTGATTAACGTGATTTTAAACATGATAGAGTCATCTCTGGGGTTTACAGAGGCCTAAAACATGAAAATATCCAGTGAGCTGCAGTTCTCATAGAAGCTAGAAGTCATGGGACAATGGCCAGACTGCTTTAAACTAGGAATGCAACAGTCTGATAACCAAGTTACAACCAAGGTGTGCAGAAGAGCATCTTCTAGGAGAGCACATCTGTGAATCTGAATCTGTGCTACTAAAAATTCAAGTAGCTCTGAAGACAAAAGGAGCTCCAACTAGGTGGGGTGTACCTAATAAAGTGGCTGGTGACTGTATGTCAGATTTTCATATTTGAAAGTCTGAATGGTCAGCTTGGTTCAAATGTTTTTTACAATGTTGAAAAGTGGGAAAGAAATCCGTGACAGTTCAAAACAAAGCCGTTATTACCTCTTGTTCGAAGAATCGGTCCTCAAGAGTCTTAAAATCTGATCCAGGCTCAGGGTCATCAAAAACCATTTTATAGTCCTGCAGGGAAATTTGAGTTTACACTGACCACATGTCTGACTCAATGTGCAATAACAACCGTGCAGCATCTTAAAGGACATGAGGTCAAACTCACTGGGTAGCAGTCAGCCACAGCCTTGACCTGCTCGTGGTCCTCCGCCTGGGCCAGGAGTTTCAGTCCTCCAGGGTAAAGTTTGCCACAGGATGGATACAGCGCACTCCTGTCTGCACTGCTGAGATCCGTCCCAAAGGAGTTCACGGTGATGATGAAGGCCCGCCGGTCCGCTTCAAACTGCAGCACGCATAAAAGCACACAGCATTTACAGCAAAACAAATCTCAAGTAGTTTGTAAGACTTCAGTTAAACAAACTCATGCATCATAGAAAGCCAGAGTACCTCCAGGACAGGGCACATTACGTCCTTTGTGGCACCGCCAACGCTCTTGCAGAAAGAGTGGAAAGACTGCAAATATGCCTGTGCGGTAGAACAAAAGGCACCGAGATCAGCACAAATTTCATGAAAAACAGATCGCGTTCAGACACGGCAGTAAAACTTAAGTGCAGCTGTTAAGCATGTTTATCACAGTAGTATAAACTACAGTAAAGAATTTATTGCATATTTATAGCATGTCCACAAATACTATAACACAGGTGTCAAAGCTGAGATAGGTTAGTCATGCCATCTTATGCCATGCTCTGCTCACCTTATACAGTTTGTTTCTCAGGATCTCAGCCTCCATCTCATCCAGGCTGCACTCAGATACGGCATCCTGGAAAAACTGACCTGTGGCGAGAATAAAACAACACAGTAACCCTCAGTATGTTGTAAATATTTTTATAAAGTAGACCTTAAAAATGGAAGCCCACTCCTGACATGAAGAATAATAACAAATGGTCACAACTGTGTTTACTATATCCCTGCTCACACCCATTACTTCATGCTTAGCTTTGGTAAACTATGACTAATTTTTAGCTGTGCTGAGGGAACATAGAGCCAGAGAAGTCTAAAATAAGAAGAAGTAGCTTATTAGGCTTGTTGCTAACTAACAGTCCACAAACTTGCTTGGAAGGTATTATGAACACATTAGGAGGATTTAACAGCCAAGGAGGAAAAAATAAAAGAAAACAGAAACGTGCATTGCCTTTTAATGACTAGTGCTAATCTGGCTTTGACATTTGACACCTAAAACGTTAGGCTACAAAAATTTACCAAAAAGACACCACAGTTGTATTTTCTAAAACACCTAAAGAAAGAAATGACTTTTTAGTTTTACATTTTTATAAGTAAAAATCTTGATTTCTCACTTTGAGAACCTCTAAAAGGACACAAAAAAGTTAAAACCAATTCTAATTTGGGGAGTCATCGAACTATGAAGCGGGCACAGCCTGAACAAGTTGAATCCAAAACACATATTCATCACTGCTTTTGTTGCATTAAGATTATATGAGACTACTGTCACTCCCACCACTACTCCTAATACTTCTACTACAACTAATATAACAACATTATTGTTTCCTTTTGGTGTTATTTGGTTTTTGGAATAGCACTTTAATACTTTGAGTAATAACAATATAACACATTTCAGTGTTGACAGAGCTCCACATAATGCTATGCATTAGAAATAAACGTTATATCACTGTAATAAACTGATAAAAAGATCCAGTCTGATGAGGTCATGTGAGGCATTTAATATTGTATCTGTACTCAGAAAGGTTCATAATGCCCTAATGACTAAATTAATAGCTTGTGTGTGCAAACCACTTCCAGTAAGCTGTGGTTAATGAAGCAGGATGAGTGAGCAGGACCTGTTTTCTTTTTGCATGCATCAGTGCAAAGTGTTTAAACTAAAGTGTTTTTAGTGACTCATTGATATTTAAGTCAATGATGGTCTTTCACAAGTGTATTAGAGCTAAAAGATAATTAAATATTAATAATATACATCTTTGCCACCATTAGAAATTTTAAAAAACAAAAAACAGAGATTACCTAGTGGTGTGTCCACCAGGATGGCTGAGTACAGTTCAGCTGGAGTGCGGGCAATACCCACGGCTGCCATTTGGTCAAACGCTCCCAGTGGGTGACACCGTGGGAGCAGCTCTGACACATCTTTGTTCTTCAGGGCCCCTGTGATCAGCATCACCACATTGTCGATCATGTAGCTGTAACTATGGCAACACAGAGACCACATGAATTGAATATCCCTTTTACCCTGTAAAATGTTTCCTGCTCATCCCATTTTTATAAACCACAAAGAGTGTTGCAGAAGGAAGGTTTTCATCACATAAAGACGACCTCGCCACGTTTGCCACAAGGTCTCCACTGTCTGCGTAAACACTGTCCTCTTTAGCTGAAAATCTCAGCAGCAGCTAACCTGCAGGATGCTGTTCAAGTGCGTCTGCTTATCCTGTGACACAAGCTATAAATAAAGCACATGCAGTGACTAGGCGCACCTTATATAGTCAAGGAAGGTAGACAGAGGTGGCAGGGCGTTAGAGCGCAGGCAGCTGAATTCAGTCACCAGATTCTCCCTCAGCTTGCTGTCCAGCAGCGACACAGTCAAATCGCCCTCAGATGAGGACAGCAGTTTACCGTAGTCTGTGCTCTGAAGGTGTAGCTTCATATCTGAGCAGAGGACATGGCAAATCAAATGTTTTATACTCCACTGCTTGTTAGTTTGCCATTTCCAAAGAGGCAGGAAAAGGTTAAACAAGGTACTGATCACAGATAGATAGATAGATAGATAGATAGATAGATAGATAGATAGATAGATAGATTGCTTCCAACACCCCCTCACATGTGCATTATATTTTTTAGACTGCAGGTATTGCACATTTGCATATTATGACACATTACATGTGTGATACAAAAGGCTTACCCTCTAGTGTGTCACACTGGGCCAGATTATGATAATCAGTCTGACACAAAATCCCAGCTTTCATTCCTCGAACCAAACCCTCCAGGTAGCCATGATCCACGTTAAAGCTGAGCTCCTCGCATGTTGCCATAATGCCAAATGAGTTATTGAGTAGAACTGCTGCAGTCACAGCGTGATTTTAGCTTTTCTTTATATATATCAGCTTCTGCCTAATTCCCTCTCTGACTAACGTTCATGCTGTTATTTTTCCTTCCTCTTTGACAGCAAGAAATTCCATGGCTAAAAGTGTTTGCTGTCTCAGCTCCTGCTTTTAGCACATTCACTCTGACTCGTGTGTATTCACCCACTCTGTTTGAACCACTGTGTAGCAGGAATTTCAAAAATGAAATGAAATAAAGACCCTGATGGGGTTTTTTTTTTTTTTTTTGCTCTGTTCACACAGCACGGGTGAAAAAAGTAAAAAAAAAAAAAAAAAAGCTAAACAAGCACGGATTAAAAAGTCCGCTTCACTGCTCTTCTGTTCTAAATAGTTCAAAATACACACTAGACTAATGACTACTAGTGATGACATCTGCATTGTTTTCATAGATCATTTTTGCTGATGGCAGCAAATGTAACGTGATTGTGAAATCATATAAAAATGTTTTAAAGAGCTCAAACAGGATTTCCTGAAATCTTTGGCTTCTGTAAGCTGTAAAAACTCACTGCTTTTTACACACAGAGAAATGTTGGTGTGTAGCATGCAGATATTATGCAGACAGCAGGCCGTGAGCATGAGCCTGTGGATTTTAAATGTGTTTCATTCACTAACACATCCAACAAAATTGACCTTTGTGCACATTTCATGACTCTAACAGTGATTTTACGTGTAAACACTTATTAGTGAATGAGCCCATTGTCAGTTTGAGATGATCTCAGCTTTGTGAGATGGTGCGTTATATTATTGGAAGCCATCATCAGAAGATGGGTGTAAGCAATGATCACGGATTCAACATGCATCAACAATATATCCTCCACCACTAGCAGCCTGAACAACTGATTCAAGAGAGGGTGGAGCTGTGCTTTCATGTTGTTTATGCCAGATTCTGACTCTGCTATCTGAATGTTGCAGCAGAAAATCGAGATTCATCAGGCTAAGTATTTCTCCTGACGTGGTCTTCTGCTGCTGTAGAAGACGCTCTTTTGCATACATTGATTCAACGAAGCTTATTGCTTTTGCCTTCCTGTCAACTCAGAGAAGTCCCGTTTTTCTCGTCTGACCATTTCTTCTTTAGTATTTTTTAACCTTCCTTAATCCTTTTTCTTCTATGTAAACTAGAGATGGTTATACAGAATAATCTCAGTAGATCGTTTCTGAAATAGTTTCTGAAATAGTTTCTGAAATACTCAGACCAGCCTGTCTGGCACCAGCAACCTTGCCACATCTTAAATTATGTTTCTTCCCCATTCTGATACTCAGTTTAAAACTCAGCAGATCCTTTTGACCATGTCTATCTCAGTTTGTAATAAAAACCTGGAATTTTCTTTTCACCAGAAGCCCACATAGCAAAATTGGTATGGCCCAGATCTGGCCCACACAGAGTGCTTACACATGGCCCACATACCGCAAAGAATGATGGCTCTTTGGTAGCCCAGATCTGGTTTGCCAGAGGTGACCCACACATGGGCCAGCACAAGGCCAGTTGCAGACACACTGGTGGCCCAGAACAGTTTCAGTTCTGGCCCCAGATGTCAGCCTAATGTGTACCTTAATCAAGCCATGTAATATTAACATGTGCCAGAAAATACTAGTGCAAAAGTAACATGACGTAATTCTGTTAAGTCAGTGAATGGACTGATTCTGATATTATGCTTTCCTGCTCTCCCGGATTACTCAAGTTTCTATACAACATACCACATTCACCCACTTTCTCTAAACTGAGTGTTTCCTAACTACATTCACACTCTTGACACGCAGACTGGAGGAGCCAGGGATCAAACCACTAACCTGCTGATTAGTAGGTGACCTGCTCTACCTCCTGAGCTACAGCCACCCACTGGTAAAGGTGAGTAAACCCTCACTAGGTTTTGGATAAAGTGAACACTCGCAAACCTGTCAAACCTGCATTTGAAACGTTGGCTACCATAGCAGTATAGTATTGCAACATGGCATTTGGCCTTCTAACTAAAATAGGGAAATAGGAACATAAATACTGCCACCATTGCCAGACCTGGCCCACATCTGGTTGACATACACTCTGCCATGACACCAGTCAGTCAGAAGTGCCAGCTTGATGCCGGATCCGGGCCAGACCTGTTTTCTATGAGCCTGGGCCACATAAACCAAACCACAATCGAGCCAGATACGGCGTGCCATCACATAAACAGTGGCATCTGTGCCAGGCCTGGCCCATATCTGGATGACATACGATAAGACGTATGTCATCCAGTGTGTGAATGTGTGTGTGAATGGGTGAATGACTGAATGTAGTGTAAAGCGCTTTGGGGTCCTTAGGGACTAAATAAAGCGCTATACAAATACAGGTCATTTACCATTTTACCATTTATCATGCCAGAAGTCTGCCAGCAGTGCCGGCTTGATACTGGATCCGGGCCAGACCTGCTTGCTATGTGGGAACTTTTGGAGCTATAAAAGATCTTCTTCTGTCTTCTGTTGTTAGGGTTAGGGCTAACTGTAAGGCCTTTTTCTGTAACACTGGCTCTTTCCTGTCTTAAATTCCTTCATGCTCATGGACATAATGGACATATAAGGATCTCCATGAAAGGGATAATCATTCATAACATAACTACTACTGACAAATGGCGTTCAGTTTGCCCATTTGCCATTTTTCAAGGCAGAAGCAGACAGTGTCCCAGACAAGATAATATATTATGTGGACCACACATTTCCTGGATAGGATTTATAACCACTTTCCTTTGGAATTTACACAGAAGTCTCTGTGCATCTCCTCGGGATACTGAGCTGAGCCTCCAAAAGAAGGTCTAATATTTATTATCTTTCTGCTATTCACATAATTGTCCTGGAAAACCTCAAAATGCTGGTTAAGTCACTGTTTAACTACGAAAGACAGGTCGGCCTGCAGTAATGTATTCTTTACTCTCTTGTTTTTAATCCTGTGTACCGCATTTACTCTAAAATCAACATTAAAGTAGCAAATCATTAAAAAATGTTTTTTAGCGTCTTAATAGGTTCCACATGGAGAAATGCAAGGAGAATGTAGGCTTACATTGTGTTTATTCAATAGCAAAAATATAAACTCCTTAATCCACAAGAGGCAGGCAAGTCCAAACATATATATCTGATTTTCAAGGCGTGGGGTACATAAGTAAATGCCATTTGGTCCTCATTAAGTCTAAAAGCAACAACACATTTATGTTCCAAAGTAAATTTACTTGCAGGTATCTCCAGCAGCAAGATATTCAAAAGCAGCAAAAATGTGGGAAATACCCATAATGCAACACACAGTTAATATCAGATTGTCTACATACATGAAAAAGCACGTCACCCATCTTTTTATGCATACATATAATGTTTTAAGATATTTTAACACTGTGCAAAGATTTCTGTCAGTATTCTTTTTCCATACTTTTCGTCGCTGAAGACAGAAGAACTCTTGAATAAATACAAACAAATACAAACAAATGCCTCACATAATATCAGAAGCATTTTTCAAAATGCTTCGATTTTATTTTGAAGTTTAATCTCTTAACCGCATTTGTGCAGGCAAACCCACAGAGCAGATGTGAATCTTTCCGTGCTCTTTTGTCAACCACAATATATGTTCAGGCGTTGTGATGTGTTTGCGTGCATGTGCATGCATGTGCGTGCTGCATCTAGGTCCTCTTTAAGCAGAGGGGGTTCATCCTCCAGCAGTGACAGATGGTGTTGAAGAGTCGACAGCGGCAGGAGGCGCAGGGGTCGCAGCACAGCAGGTGAGGGGAGCAGCTTTCCATCAAGCGTCCGCAGCGACGCGCCGGAGTTACGAGGTTCGACTTGTGCTTCTAAAGCAATTCCAACAGAGACAGTATATGTAGAAAAAGCACGAGTCAGTGGAAGAAGTGGAAAAGTCATTTAAATACATGTGAACTATTTGACCCCCCGACTCATGGCAGCTCTACAAAGCGTTTTAGTGTTGTTTCGGTTTTACAGCCATTAACTTCACTGTTATTACTAAACGATTTTTTTAAAATCTGCCTTTTGGCAAAAGCTTCAACAGTTTGTTTTGTTGTTATTTTTTAAATTTAGGCACAAGTCCTGTTTACTCTTTTAAGAAAAATCTCACTCACTGAAACACGCTTTGTTGCGAGAGTTCTGACAGGGACTATAAGAGGGAGTCAAATTCATCCTACATCATAGGACAACACATACAGTGCACTTGATCTAAAGTGGGCCAGACCACTTAAGATGGAAATTCACCTTTCTAACAATATGATAACATTTAATTACACATTTATT